GAAATATGGTAGGTCATTTGCGGGGGAATTTTTACTTTACAAATTACAGACATGGCCGATTCGCACGGGATTAAGATCACAGACAACCTCCGCAATTATTACAAATGACTGGAGGTCACCCCGTAATACTAATCCCGTGCGAATAGGGCTTATGTGTTTCACACATGGCTTTTTAGCTATAGGGGTAAAGCAAGGAAAAGAAGGTCTTCCCTACACTTTTAGATAGTTAGAAAAACAAAGTTCTTTATGACCAGCAGGATTACTTATAATAAGGATAAATGCAAAAGAAAAGGCACGAGACGGCTGTTTCTGTGAATGGTAAGTTTTAATTTAAAATGTTTGTGATAGCCTACTAATTTTTAACATAAGAAAAGTAGACTTTAGGCTGTGTTTACATGTTTTGCCACTTGCTTGAGCATCTTAATATATAGGGCCTAAATCTATAAGCTACAGAAGTAAAATGCATTTAATAGCGTAATATATTGCGCTTCACGATGTCTATGAAAGATTGTATTAGCTACTGTGTAAAAAGATACTCACTATGCTGAGAAAAAAAAATCGGATTTGAAATCAAAATAATGGTGGTAAACAGCCGGATCATAGCGCACTACAAACATTATTATGTGAAAGCACACTGAGCCCGTGCTGCTTCTGCACCGCATAGGCTACGAACCGCACACGGACTGCACTGCAAACGGATCCTCGCTTAATTTCGTTCACTCTTTGCTGATATACTGCACTCAACTGCCATTCACTATATATGGATTTGAGAATCAGTGAAGACATCAGCGATTTCGGAGTCGACAACAAGAGTCGATTCCCCTGCTGGACTCTTGGGCTATTCAGAGTTGAGGAGTCGACTCCCCATCCCTAGTGCTTTATTTCACAATGATTTAACAGAGGAAATCATTACCTATATTTACATTCCCAGAAAAAATTTGCTGTACAAGACAAACTCACTGGTACACTAGCAGGCCCGGCTCCACAATCAAATTACTGAGGGTACTTCTTAAATTAGTGAGGGTGCTCTCTCTCTCTCATATACTGTATATATTTATGTATATGCCGTCCATTGCTATGGCGCAAAGAGCGCTCCCTTATAATCACTCATCTTAGCTCATCGTGACCTCACAAAGTTACATTATAATCAATGAAGATCTCTTCGCTGCACAATGAATCTCTTATTTAAATCACGTCTACACTTTGTTGTAATGAGATGATTCCTGCTGAATACAACACCTGAACAAAAACTCTGGCGATTTGAGCAGTGAGTGGATTCTAACTTAAACGCACGCCTCTGACTGTCTGTTGTGTTCAAGAAATCAACAGATATTGGCTATTTTGTTCAACGCTGCACAAACACATTGAATAGAGACCGATCTCCAGAGTGCAAACCAATTTTCTCTATTAGAAATAGAGATAGTATATAGAAGCTAGTATTTCTCTAGCTCCACCAGGTCCCTAATGACTAGAAATTTGGCTTGCTCTGGTGTTCCATTCAGCTTGATGAATATTTTGCAATTTGCAGTCCATGTGGATTGTATTTTTTTTCTGTCTTCTAAGGAGTTAGGCCTTTCTGGCAATGTCCGCATTTTTCTTAGTCAAGTGTTCATTTAAATACACATCTGTGCCCTTCAGCCGTCTTCCCTGTTCAGTTTTGTTTCCTGTTATCAAAACAAATGAATATGACAGTTTTATCCACCTTATTTCTCTGTGGGAGAGGATGACAAACTTCAATGTTACCTCTTTCCAACTCAATCCCCTTTGAGTGGAGGAACGTCATCTACTGTTGCTTCACTGATGTAGCGTCCTGCTCGGTCATCTCCGCTCCGATCAGTGTCATTACCGCCCGGCATATGAGCGGGGTTTGATCTCCAATCCGGTGACTATCATATCATTTATTCTGGTATGTTGTTACAGATCAGCCAACATAATCCACTTGTCCTTCTCGATGTTTTGTAGCCTCAGGGCTTTCACTTCCTCCACCAAGCTCATGATGGTCTTCTGCTGTTGTCTAAAACAGAAACCTCCTCTGTCAACATGTCGAGCGATCGCTCAATATCATCAACCTCTTCAGCATGTGCGGAAAGCTTTTTTGGTGGCATGGCATCTTGTTTTCCGAAGCAGCCGGGGTCACAGCTCTCAGCCGCCATACACGGGCCTCAGAATTATATATATATTTTTTATGTTAGAAATTTAAAAAGAAAAAAAGTTTATATTGTGTTAAACATGGTGTGATGAGAATGTCAACCTTTCTGACCACTCTATCTATCTATCTATCTATCTATCTATCTTTTTCTTTTCTCTAGGGGTAAGAGAGATGTAAGAATAAAAATGAATTACAATTCATTAAACAATTAATTTTAAACATTAAAAAAAAAAAAAATCTGTCTCAAAACTAACAAAAAGGAAGCCATAAGGTCTTCAAGAGAGGGCCAGGCCAACTAAACAATCAAAAAGTTCTAATTAACAATGGAAGCATTTAAATAAATGTTCAGCGATATCTTCAAAAGATTTTTTTAATTTTGGCACAATTTTTTTCTCTATATAGTGTTGATATGGAACCTAGTAAATACCATAAGATATGTTATGCTAGCATGTGTGGAAATGTTTAAACCATGTGTGTTACAACTAACCCCGCATTAGTTTGTGCCCCGCTCACCCCTTAATTGGCAGTGTGTAGACATGACATCTGCACAATACCTGACAAAGAGGAACTTAATTACACAGTGATGATGAACTAGACAGCAAACAGGTGAGATAACCTCGACTCGAACCTGCGACCTTCGGGTTACAAGTCCGACTCTC